AACATTATTTTTCTGTTTTAGTTTTCCTTATCTATTTCCCTAGCATGTTCTTCATCAAAACCATCCATTTCTTGCCTTTCCCTTGTTCCCATATTCCCTAGCACTCACCTCAATTACAGTCCTGATATTTTCCTACCTCATGGTATCGTCCATGCTCACTTGTATTTATTATCCTTCCACTTATTTCCCATCTGCTCCGCTTTTTTTTACATCCTTCAATACTTCTTGATTGCATTTCATTCTCTCCCGACGACTGTTTTACTTGCGTCTTTCGTTTAATGCTTTGAACCAATGATATGTCGGATTCACAGTTGGTCGTCTATCAGGGACGCACATCAATAACAGACGTAGCGTGTCTTGCTACCATTCAGACAAGATCCGTTGGTTCATTTGATCCATCCAGGAAACCTACACGTACCTTATTTACATTATTATGCGGAAAACATGTGCTTCCTATTACTAAATTACTTTGAAACTGGCCTATGGTTGTATTTGGGTCCAGTGCCATTTTCACTCCCTTCTTCATGTAGAGAGTGGTTTTCCTGCTACCTTGGGGTTCATAAATTCTCCCTCACTGATCTTTGCATTAAATCGCCGAGGATAACCATTTTCGATCCAAACACAATGTCTACAGTTCTATTCAATTCATCACAAAACTCTTTTCATTCGTTGTTTAGCTTCTTTTGTTGACGCATGGCTGTTGATATAACCGTCCATTTCTTAATCTTAAGTTTACATATCCTCTCTGAGTATGGGTTCAATTGACATAAATACTTTCTTTCGTTTTTCCATTTAACTAATGACCCCGTAGCCATAGTTTATTCTTATGGACGGATTTACTTGACGGGAGGGTTCATTACAATCAATTGCCTCACTATCGAGTCAAAAGAGGGATATATACCAGCCACACCATCATAAGAATTTAGATACCGACATGTTTTAACAAAGGCAAGAGAGAAATTTAGTGATATGAATAAATTAGGCTTTCAATTAAATGTTGCTGGCCGCGTCTTTTGGTGTGTCGTTTGTACAATTTCGGAGACGACAAGATAGCAGGTAAACGCCGGTTGAGCGTTCGTTGGAGGATATCATTCACAGGGTTGACGGAGTGTGAGTGTCGAATGGCAACTTTTTTAAGAGCAGAAAGCCTTTTAGGGCGCTTTGCTGTTGATCTTCGATTCTATGGTCACGGGTGAAAGAATCCGCCTCTGGTTACTGCCGTTTACGAATGTGGCTCTTCACACAAAAGAAGCCCTCAACTTGGTAGACCCAAAGTCTCCCTTGTGCTATGAGAGTTCGGGACTCTTCAGACACGTTAATGTAAACGAGATTAGGGTGGGGTAACCGACGCTGTTAACTCAAAGTAGTTGAATCTTTTAGACAGGCTGAGCGTGCTCATGGACAATCAATTGTTGTCACTGCAGTGCTTGTGACCGGGAGGTCCCAGGGTTCCATTCTCCGACGGTGGCAGGATTTTCGATACTAGCTACAAAGTTAGGACGAATTCAGCAGCTGTCTGAGAGGGAATCGTCTGCTGCTCTGAATCGGTAGTTTTCTAGGTTTCTGCCGAGTAAGCCAGGCGAATACCGGAGCAGTACCTCTAACAAACGGGCCACAAACAGCGCGGCGATCTTCCTTCCTTGTTCCTTGTCGTATCCACACCCCTACTACACCCACTATACTTACATGCCCACTACACTACCACATACGCCGGGAGACCGGTGAAGATTTTGCCCCGATTGAGATGCGCCCCGTGCGTGGTACACATATGGTTGGGGGGAAACTATCCGCATAGTCGAGTAGGTTGGCGCCGCGATATCGCCATTTCAGAGCGAAGGACGATCACCATCAACCCTGTGGCTAAAATGCTACAGAATTAGCGCAGACTTTCTGCATTACTTAAGAATATTACTTAAGAATACTATAGAAGCATAAAAACTGCATTATATATGGCCAGTTTTGTGGAACAATTTGGAGCCGTTTTTAATAAATGTTTATTTTAGTGTATTCGTTATCAATTAACAAAGTTGTCGGTTAGCTTAATACGTATTAATGGGTTGAAGGATGTTTAAAAAATTACATTATATACTTTTTGAAAAACAAAAGCATACTTCAAACGCGGCATTAATGTTATGTGTTTAATTCTTTTAGCCCTATCCGCATCAAAACGTTGAAGAAAAAATGGATTTCAATTTTTTCAATCACCTAATGGTAGAACTGATAAAATATGACTTGGGAATATTATAGAAGAGTAAAATGTAGTCGTATATAGTTAATTTTCGCTCCAAAAATTTGGAGACGTTCGTTCCAAAAACTTTGGAGAAAATATCGGTTAAGCGTTTCTGTAAGTGCGGAATTTGAACGCACTTTTTCAAAGAAGCTTTCTGGAGTTTTGCCAGATCGCACATTTATATCAGTTGAAGAACTTCATTTCACGAAATACAAAATGTATACAAATCCGCTCCAAGTCTCTGCTAGGGATGGGGCGACGGCCTGGAAAGTCGCCCGCCTGTGACTGATATAGTCTAACGGACTACCATTCATGGGAACATGGGGAATGAGCACTGTATCCGTACGTGTCACAGTGGCCACCTGCATGGTTTTCCCTTTAGCCGTGACTGATGACCACTTCCACAACGTTTAACCCTGGTCGTTCGATGAAGCGCTGTGCCATGGCTGAATTTGAACGCATGTAACCTCATTGTAAAACCCGAAGATTGTGAAAGGACATTCCACCAAACGTTGTTTCAACAAGTAAATTAATTTGTTAATTCAACTTGATTAAAAACTGTTTTTCAACGTATTTTGGACTTGGTTAATTTTTTTATCAATCTACAAATAACGAAAGAATATAACCTTCAGCTTTTAGCGTGTTGCCTTGGCGTTTTGTGTATTGAAGACGGACGCAGAAAAATAATGAAACTTTACTTTGAGATTGATTTTCTCAACTTTGACTGATTTTCTTTAAAGCTAACTGGCGTGCAACTTTAACATATTCCAATAGGGGTTAAAGACGCACTCTAGAGTTTTTCTGGCTTTCTTTTTGTTCAGAGGAGAAATTACTGTTTCAACCGCTTAGGGTTCTATAAGTTTAGGGTACGAAAAGTTATTAATGCGTGTCGTTATTTCAACGGTTATCGGATGTCTACCAAAATTGAAAACCATCGCCCCGCGTACTCGCTTCATGGAATCTTTTCTGCGTTCTACATCCAGGCCTGCCCGCACCGCGTTGCCAACCTTGTATCTGTCATGATACGAAATTTAATATTGAAATTGTCATTGTAGAGAATTCTAATATTTATACAAACCCACTTCGTAGAAATCACAATTCCATCGGAGTGACAAGTATCAACAGATCATTTTAATTAAATCCACATATACAACTTTGCTTTACAACACCAATACTTTGGCTTTACTTACACGTTACTTTACAACACATGTCAAACGACAATTAAACAGATAAAATCGCGTGCACAAAGTAAGTTAAAAGTGAATTCTTTTCGCTGCATAACAGATTCTATGTATTTAGAAGACTATTACTGGACCATCAAAAGGGAAAATAATATTTAGTTTTTTACTGACATATAATACATTAGTTTACCTTTGTTTGAATAATTTAAAAATGATTTATTGCCTGTAGCAAGTAATAGTACTTGGCTTCTGGATCAATGATCGCCATCTCGATCAGGTTTTACCCCAGTTTCCCTGATCCATTGAGCAAATGCTCAAATGGCCCCATGTGTTTCCTCTAGACATAAATGTAGCTTCACTATGCGCACGTTTATTGAGTTCAAGTTTGCTAGTATTGGTAGATGTAGAGCCTGGAATAGGTTACTATTTGTTTAGTAATACAAAAAAAATAAATCGCAGTTCATGTATTGATGCTAATAACTTCTCTTTAACTCGGAAGGGAAAATGTCTAATTTTCTCAGCCAAGCCGAAAGCCAAGCGAAAGCAAGTCAGGTCCAGGTATCTCCCACCAGTGGGGCACCGTCCCAGTTGGGACAAGTTCTAAGCTGCTCCGACGGTCTCCCGGCTTATGTGGTGATATATGTGTGTGAGTGTAAGAGGTCAAGATAGAACAAGAAAATCGCGCGCGGTCCGAGACCTGTTTGTAAGGAGTGTCGGCATTCGCTTAGTGTTGATTGGGAAACCAGAAAAATACCGATCAGAACAGCCGCCACTAGGATTCTCTTCCAGACCACGCCTGAATTCGACCTAGATACCTAGTATTTGTGGAAAATCATTCCATTGTTGGAACTCGAACACTGAAGTAACTTAGTGATGCCTGAACACCTCAGTCGCGATTGATGCACTGGTTAGTGGGACACAGCACTTGTTAACATTTGAGACGCTCTGCAGAGTGCTATGGTTGTAAACAGATCCAAGGAGCCAGGCAATAAAGACTCAGGGCATCAACTAATGTCACTGCAGGTTCTCTCTGACCAGGAGGTCCTAGTGTTCGAGTTCCGCACGGTGGCTGGATTTTGGACACTGGCTGGAGAAACTAGGTCGAATTCAGTCGCTGTCTGCAGAATTCTAGCGGCCGGCTACTCTGATCGGTGTTTTCGTAGTTTCTCCGACATATAAGAGAATGCCGGGCAGTATCCTACAAACGGGCCATGGACCTCAGCGCGATCTTTCTATCGTTTCCCTGTCCTATCCTCCCCCATAACTCTTTCACTTCATGCACTCACTATCACACATTATCGGGGGACTGGGTCAGTGAGCTTAGATATTGTCTCTGCTGAAGCGGTGCCAAACTGGTGAGAGATACCTGTTAGGATAACCCCGCTTGCACGCCTCGGCTCCGAATCTCAGCATCCAGGGGTGGGGGGAATCACAGCCTCCTCACGAGGAAAACATGATCCACTACGGGGCTTATGACATAGCGGTTCGCGCTGATCACCAATCTCAATTGAATTAAGTGAGACGGAGAAGGAGAGAAGCAAGGGAAAAACATGGAGGAAGAAGGAAGGAGAAAGGAGGAGGAGAGAAGAGAAGGAGAAGGAGAAGGAGGAAGGAGGAAGGAGGAAGGAGGAAGGAGGAGGGAGGAAGAGGAAGGAGGAAGGGGAAGAGGAGGAGAGGAGGTAAAGAGGAAGGAAGAGAAGGAGAGAGAAGAGAAGAAGAGAACCGAAGGAAGAGAAGGAGAAGAAGAAGGAAGAAGGAAAGAAGGAAAAGAGGAAGAAGGAGAAGGAAGAAGGAAGAAGGAAGAAGGAGAAGGAAGAAGGAAAGGAAGAGGAGAAGAAGAAGAAGAAGGAGAAGGAAGAAGAAGAAGGAAGAAGGAAGAAGAGAAGAATAGGAAAAGGAAGAAGGAAGGAAGAAGAAAGAAGGAAGAAGAGAGGAATAATCAAGAAAGAAGAAGGAAGAAGAAAAGAAAAAAAGTAGGAAGCCGAGAAAGGAGAAGACAACGATAAAGATAATGATCAAGGCCAATAGGATGAATGCTTCTTTCTGAGTAAAATAACCCAAATAGGGATATTCCATGTTGAACTTCATTTAACAGAAATATCATATTTTACAATATCTGTCAGGGATGTAGACTAGCAAAATATGGCCTGCCAATTTTTTGGGGGACATCATAATACTTTACTCAATATTGTTGAGTGTCTTGTAATACTTTACTGGAGCAGGAATGCAAGGCATCATGACTAGGATCCTTAAGAATAATTGACATCATGATGAAAGAAGCATGGAAAATGACTTTTGAATATCGAATCAACTTCGACTATCGATTTCCAAATCTTGCTATATAGAGAGCCGCCTTGTCGACTACTTTTCAGTAATCGATTAACTGTGCTATGGACGACGTGTAAACGTAGGAATTGTGAAATTCGAATACTGTGACGGCATGTTGAAGAACATTCCACCTTCGCGAAGAAACTCTGTGTCAACACTGGGAAACATTCTCAGCGTAAACGAAATAAAGAAAAAAAGCAGGACAAAATCCAACAGATGAGGTAAGAAAGGAGATTAAATTATTTTACATATAGCTTAGCGGTTTCATTAAGCATTCATCCTGAGACGTATGATGCATTCAAGGCCGCAATGAGGTTGCAATTTCATTACATTTTGAGTGACATCATTCTCATCTTATTACTTAATTGTCAAATCATATCATTATTTTGTTGCAGTTGATAGAGAGCCTAAAGGTTACTTTAAAGAACTGGCAAGCCACGACCAGACTGGAGAGATACAATTCAGGTAATTTAATCCCTCGTAGAAATTACACAACATTATGTAATGATGTGAAAATATGTACATATGTTGATACTGTGCACCACACATTAATTGTATGTTAATGCCAATGAGTACTATTCAATTTTTATGCCTGTAGGTTTACCGAAATGAAGATGACCTAGCTGCTAAACTGGATTCCGAAGACAGGAAAGGGCTGAAAATTAGTGTTAAAGTTTTTGTATCTTCTCTTCAAAGAAGGTACTTACGGGAAGCATTGAATGCAGTAAGTTCAATACTTTTTTAACTTGATCTTAAGTATATTCTGAATATATTATAATAGTTCTTATGTTTGCAGTGTTTGCAGCTCTAAGAACCCCCTTTATAGATTCTCTAGTGCTAGCGTATCCGAACAAAACAACAGTAATGAATTACTATCTTGCATCTTCAACAGTTATGGACAGTTCTAGAAGAATATGCAAAGAGTCAAAAAATTTTGTGTATGGTTGTGTTAGTGATTTGGAAACTGATGTATTTGTGGCACTCCATAGTTGGGCCAATGTAAGTAGCTGGTTGTGACAAGCATGTGAAACCTGAGTAGTAAATTAACATGGCTCGTTTAAGAATCATTTTGTTTATTCTAACAGTCAAGCCGAGCATAATCCAAATTAATCTGGCAAGCTGCTGTGTGGTACCCCCGCATTACAAGAATTCACAAAAGAAAATTTGATGTTCAACTTCTAACGCACATGGACCCGTTGGGTAAATATTTTTTAAGTATTTCAAAGCTTTGCTGAAATCACTTATCAATTTTGTCCTTGATCCTGCATATGTGATTTCTTTTTCCTGCTGTACGTTGCAGGGAATTATGGTGAAGAACGTGGTAAGCTTAGATTATTAAGATTTAAGTTTAAAATTGGTTGTTGCAATATTGATGTCAGCTTAAATGTTTCTGCTTTCTTCCTCGTTTTTCCTGAAAGTTCCCTGTGTGGTTGAAAGAGTTTGCTTAACATTATAGTCTGGTCTGTAACGGTATTTTATGTGAATTTTTCATGATCTACTGAGGAGAGTAACACAAGGAACAGAAATCTACTTTGATTGGGTATTGCGGTCGTGCTGTGAACTAACATAAGGAATCTTATAGATTTTTTTTCTCAGATTTACTGTCATTTTATTTAGTATTCAAAGTTATTTTGTCGTTTTTTAAGGAATTTCCCCTAGGCAATAGTATCTGCTAGCTATGCAATATAATGTGCAGGTCTCCGATTCTGATAACCTAAAAATTCTATGAAATGACCTATAAAATAACTTAGCAATAAGAAAAATGACAGCATTTTTTAATAATTAGTATAAAATTTGTAAGGATGTTTTATTTATTTCAATGGATTTTAATATTTAAAATAAAAATGTATGTACGTTACATTATATATGAAATAAAATCTTTAATTCTAGAGAAATGTAATCCTTAGCTCTGATCTTCCAAGCATCAGTTTTGAAAAGGTTGAGTAATAACCGAAAATTAGTGTAAATTTCAAAGTTTTGAAAAACAGAGTCCAATGCGTTGATGTGTGAATTTTGTCATGGACTATGATACAATAAAACTCGGTTTTAGTGGCATCTTTGTAACTATATGAAATGTTCACTGACAAAACCTTGAAAAGAAAATGCGATAAATGACAATGTCGCTAAGCTGTCAGAAAAAAGACCAGAAAATTGAAAAATGGGAAAACTGACAAAAAATGCCCTAATAACTTACATAATTGTCACATACACTTCGTTATAATCATGCATTTACAATTTTTAGGCATGTGTCTTGAATTCACAAGGAAAAGATGACAGTTCATCAGAATTTGAGCCTCGTTAATATGTATATAAATGCTTTATTCTTGCATTTCTCCACAGCTAAATATTTAATAATTTCTATTATCAGTACAAGTAGTTTTGTTTTTAAGGAAAGATATTTGCTACAGAGAACTTTATTGTTCTGTCATTTTCTTTCTGACAGCTGAAATGATGCACAGATCTGTCCTTGTGTGATTTGGGACCATGTGCATTTCCGAGTAACTCTTAAGCACCTGACATGATATCTTGACCTCCTACAATAAACAAGCAAATAAAGATCAATTTTTTCATTGTTGCTCAAATTCAGTTTATAGCGTTGTTCCACTGGATAGTTGTGTGATGATCAAAATAATAAATATTGCTTGCAGATACATGAAAGCACTGAAACAATTTGCCAAGAAGCTGTGATAGAAACTTTTTTTGGTTTGGAATATGTTAATTGCAGAAGAGTCACTGTCCAAAAGACACTGGTTGCTAGAAATGGGTTAATATAAGTAGGTAGTAGAAAACTATCAACAAGTATAAAACAAAGTGTTCAAATAATTTGAAAGTGAGATAATTGAGCTCATAAGTATCAGGAGACAATCAGAGGCTTCATGCCCATGTCAGTGGAACCAGTATTTCTGATAATTTCTTATAAGATAACTGGCAAGTCAGGAGAGATCAAATATCAAGAAACATGATTGTAAAGATAGTAAATTCTTTTTCCTGATATATTGTTTGCTCTGACTTTTCTTTCTGTTGCTTTGTAAATAACACTGCTTTATTCCTAGTACACTTAGAAATCCTTCCTGATCTCACTGAAATTCTGATTTCTCTTTGAAATTATGATTCCTTTTTAATAACATATGCTATGCATTCTAGATGATAGTTCTTCTTTTAAAATCTTGTTTTTTGATATTCTTTAAAAGATTCATATTGGTAGTAAATTGTTCTTGTGTTATTAGGTATTAATCTTTGCTTGTAGAGAAAAACAAATGAATATGACTCTCTCTGATCTCATATTTTAATGCAAGTAACAATGCGAAAACTAATAGATAATTAAAAATGGTTTTATATTTCTGTTTCAGAAAATACTGTCCTCGAGCTGCCATGAATGACGTATTTGGTTATGGCAGTAGGAACACCCAGGGAAGAAGTTTTCGTTTAGATGGCGGCACTGAAGATTTCAAGTTTCATGTGAAATGCGAGGAGTTCTTTCTAGCAAGAGGTTATCTTTTAGTGTGCTTTGGGATTAACGCCTGATAATAATGAATGTCCATAAGGGGGGTGGAAACAAAGTATGTTATTAGAGCAGATGATGCCATTCTGACTATTCTGTGTACTGACAATTGAAATAGTTTGCATTGAATGCATATTGTATTTTTTAGCATTGGTTAGCACAGAGAAGGTATTAGGGGCATCAATTTGCACTTAAATAAAATTTTGTTATTTTATGTGAGGACCTAAAATTTCAGTATTCCGTTCAAAATAGAAAAAATATATAATGTACCCCATTAAAGAGGGGAAGAAAAAGGGGCATGACCAAAATATTTTTTCGTTTATAATTTATTATTTTAAATCTAAAAAAATGCAATTATTATGGCAAACTTTTTACTTATCTTGTTATCCATAAACGTCTTTCCATTGTATTTTTGAGAGAGATTGGTTTTTATGTATTATGCGCCTTCATGTAGTTACTTGCTTTATTTCATTGCAAGATAATTTATGTTAAATGATAGCCAATGGGATGGCTGATTTTCAAAATCTACTGTTTCTGTTGCATAGTTTGAAAGTTTATCTAAATTATTTTAATTGTGTATTTTATATATACAATTTGTATTTACACTATATGAGGTCCTGTTCATATTGAACAGCGACACAATACACCAGTATTTGAACTTTAGTAATAGAAAATGTCATTTGATATGATAGCAAAAGTTGAATATTTGCAGCATAGTAGTAAGGCATAGTGTGTGTTAAGTATACCAGCATATTAACATTAATTGATGTAAATGTGAAATATCTGATAATTGGTTTTAAATGCATGTTTATCAATGCTTAATTCGTAGGTGATAAATTGAAATAATGCAAAGTTAGTTTCAAATGTGTAACTTTTGTGTAGCAACACTTTGAATAAAATTTATGTGATAAAATGGAATTTAAATTTTTTCAATTGCTATTTAAAGAAAGGGGGCGGGAATATTTAGTTGAGCGGCTTGAAATTTCGAAATTCTTCAAATTTGTCTAATGATTTAGATTAAGACCAGAGTTTCATGTAAAATCTTTGTCTTGGCTCTTTTTGTGCGTGATTTCTCATGTATTTATCACAATTTCCATTCGTAATTTTCTAAATGAATGCCTTATAAAAGATTTTGCTAATTGCCTTTCAGAAACACACTTCCAACAATCATATTAGCGTGCTGCTTTATGCTAGCTTGCTCTGGCAAGAAATTGTTCATTAATTTGCTTCTACAAGTGAAATTGTGTATAATGCCATAAGGCCAGTTTCCTTGTTCTAAATATGGCAAACATCGGCCACTTTTTTGTTTACTCTGCAATTCGAACAGTGTGAAAACATGATTCCAGCGAAATCCCAGCACTTGATTGAGATAGAATTTGTGACAGGTGCGTGAATAGTTTCTGCTTGTTTTTACTGATTTTATTTTAATTTTTTATTTATGGATTAAAAATATGGCACATTCAACAAGTGTATAGTCCATTTAGGACACTGAAATTTTTAAAAATGTAGAAGTTACCAACCCTTGGAACCTTGTCTTTCAATGATTAAAGAACTTGCCGGGTGTAACAGTCTGCAAAAATGGCCAGAATTTTTTGGTACTTCTGAGGAGAGTGCAGAAAATTAAAAAACAATTCTCTAAACTGAGAAAGAAAAACTTAACCAAGGTTTAATAAGGTAATTGGTTTGATTAATAAGATGGAATTCTGCAATAACTCTCTGATATACAACAGAGAATGAACAGGCAAACTTCATGAAAACCAATGAAATTGCATTCACATTTCTTGAATGCCGATGTTACACTTGGGAGCAATAAATGCATAAACTTTGCAATTCACTTACATTTTACACAATCCCAGCGATCGTATGTTGTTACACGTTTCAACTTGTACACCAGTTGACAACGGCTTTCGTGAATAAAAATTGCCAAGTCTGTCAATTTTTGAACTTGAGCAAGACGCTTATCCAAACTTGCAATTGGAGAGTAAAGGAGCACTGGAGCAGTTGCCTACAACCACATCAGTAATCCACTTCCCAGTGCTAAGTAAAACAGGGTCCATGAAATGTTACTTGTTTTATTGAAACATATTTATTAGGCTTCAGGCTTTCTCTAGTAATTCAGATATTGTATGTTTTGTGAAGTAGTTTAAAGGATTGTAGATTAGATGATGTATTGTAATTCTGTGTTTCTACAAAATTACAATGTCTGTTCACTGAATAAAATCACAGTGAATTCTTCTTGTTTATTTACGTCTTCACAGACATTTCATTCACTGATCCTCAGTGATGCGATCAAGATTTTTTATTTGGATGTATTTCATTTCGATTCTTCACTCTGAACATTACGATGCTGATGAGATGTGGTCACATTTTTTTGTAGGTTGATTTGGACGTGGCTTTTTGGTGAAAGATTTCAAGCACGTGGACAAATTATGATTGACTGAAAATCATTATAAATGTAATGTTTCATCCATTGAAATTCTGGGTTTTCTTGAAGAAACAAGAACAAAAACAAAAATCTGAATTTATCAAACTGTAAATATTTGAATTTTTTTCTTGGGTTTACAGGTATTAAATTAAATATATTGGAAGGTTTCTCGATGAAAGAAGTTTGAGGTAAATCAAGTCAAAGAACTTACTAATTTTCATTTAAAAATATTTTTCTTTTTTAAAAACTCACAAATTAATTAATTTTAAAAGATGTTAAAAATTTTCTGAAAATATATATGGTTGGAAACACCGTTTCATATTTTCATTAAAATGTCAAATGCAGTTAGTGCTGTAATCCTACTATGTATTAATCTTAAAATCACTATATTTATTAAATTAGAAAGATAATAGTATTGTTAAAACCTAAAATGGATTGTTTACTAAATTGTTGTAAGCTCTACTTTATCATTTGAAAGAAGAGAATTTCGTGACCTCAGGTGAATTTTTACTGTCACATAAATTCATGAAATTAGAAACTTTATTTAGTTGATTGGCTCTTATCATCTCATTTTTGACCTTAAGCTCTCTTTTATTACCATACTTATACCCTGTTACGTGCAGGCCCTATTTTTCACAACACATGTGGATTGTTATTTCCACAAACTATGTGTATGGATCCAATTATTCTCAAACACGCTTCAGCCTGTTCCGTTCTCATATTACGTTGAACAGATAAAAATGTACTGAGAATTGCATGCAAACCTTAAAGTTTCCTTCCATTGATGTTATTACTCAACAAATTCATATTTGTAAAAAAAATTAATTACATCATTTGAAAGCATCTAGAATTGCAGGAAAATTGCATTATGAAAGTAAATTCTTGTTTAAATATTGGAGGTGCAGAACATGTTAGAAAAATATTTTGAATTTTACAATATTTGGGAATTTTAGAGGGTTTGAATGAATTAATGATAATTATCGTATTTATAAGCCACCACTTGTACTTCAGCCTCCATCTGAAAGAGGTGGTCTGCTGCTTTGGTTAGCAGTTTCCATTTTCTCCTAACTGTTTTCAGTGTGAATGTCAGGTAATTACCAAAGAGTGGTCTTCAGACCAGATATGATCTTCCTTCTCCATTCATTGTTCCTTTCTCTCCCTTACACCCCACCCACACTTACATTTGCAACCACACTTGTTGCACATTGTTAGGAGTTACAAACTTGTTCCAGTGTGGATCAGTGACTCGTTGGGTGCGGAGATATAGTGAGGGTCAAAAATCCAGAAAGCTGATGGTGGGGTTGACACCAGCCAAATTTGGGAACCACCACAAACCCAAGCATAAAACATGTAACTGACTGGAATTAATAACCAAAAGTATCTTGACTTGTCTTGGAACATTGATCATCAATCAAAAATATTATAAATAATTTTTAAATTATAAAACCAATGTAAATATATGTATGCGTATGTTCCACACAATCATTCTTGAACCATAGTAATGCCATAATTTTCGTGAGGGACTTTTCGGTCCATCAGGCCTGTTCTTCGTCTGACCATTCAAAATTCGCTAGACTTCTTTCACAGAGTGTCTGCTGTACAGATTTTACAGTTTTTTTTTTTACCATTTGCGAAAAAACCAAAAAGAGATGCACTTTTGGTGTGGACTCACAGAAGGAGTGGAGATGGTTAATAGTAGAATGGATTTGAGAACAGGATATTGGCTAGGTTGTAGTATATAAAACGTTTGTGTGTATTATTGCGTATGGCTAGGTTTACGTACCATTAAAGCTTTTCAACTACTGGTAGTGATTGCTCCCAAATTTTGATGAGGCTAATTTGAATACCCAAGAAAAATATTAGAAAGAGTTCATGAGCCAAAGTATTAGGCGGCCTGTCCCTAATTTGTTGGCACGCTAAAGGCTGAATGTGGTATTTTTATCTGAAAATGATGTAATGCATCTAGGCAGCATCATTGGCTTGGATTTGAAGGAAGTTATATGGCTTGAGGGAATCAGATAGGTCAATTACATAAATACACAGGCAAACTCTAGTAAGGCAGGTAATCAGATTTGGTTTCTTTAAGGTTCCCATCAACATCTAGGATTGTTAGCGACCATATTGCATTTAATGTTATGGAAACTGTGAAGGTGGACATGAATTATGGGATGATAGGAGAACCACCAAGTACAACCATCCAAGTACAAGGCAGGACTTGACTCGCGATCCTTTGGTTGCAAGATTGCCATAGGCACTACTGCCTTAATGATCTGGCTATCTGAACCAGCGAATCATGTAGTTTATTTTACTAATGATAAAGCCAGTTTTTCAAATTTAATTGGAAAGTAAGAATCTTTGAACATTAGTAGAAAAATGTCACTATTATTTTGATTATTTGAGGAAGTGCAGAAAAATGAAAAGTTGTGGTTGTTTCCCTATTAGGAAAGTATTGTTTTATTAAAATGGTAGCATAATGTATTTTTCTCATGCCTCTCATAATAACTTTCACAATAATGGCAAACGGTTGTTAAATCTTTCAAAATAAAAAAAGAGCTTGCCCGTGTTGTAATAAATAAAAGTTCAAAAACAATATCCTTTCTTTAACGTGCTGCCCTTTGGATTTTGCAAGATGAGAAAAATAGAAGTTCAAAATTTTTGTTAAAAAATGAATGAAACCATAGATTGTATGGTTCATGTCAATGTTGCATGACGAAATACTGTTCAATAGCAAAATTTAGTGTACAACTGCTTTGTAGTTTTCATCTGATAGTCTAAAATGTTGTTTGTTTGAGTATATATGTCACATATGTAGATGGTAATTATGCTTTTTAAATCAGTTTGTTAATACTAATGATTTAATTAATTGAATTGTTTAATAATTGCGGAGTTACTTGAGGACAGTAATTTTGTATTCATTCAAAAATACCAAGTTCAAAAAATGTCATTGAAGTAAAAACCATTGGTTAGTGTAAACTGGGATATTCAACGTCATGGGCAAGGAAAACTAGCTTCTAAACATGAGGTGCAAAAAATAGGGGTTATTCAAATAGGCTTATGGATGTCCACTTTGCACCTCGCCCAACAGTCTGGGAAGTCAGTTGTCACTTTTTATTCAAATTTCTTCAGCCTTTCAAATTTAGCTATAAATAATTCCTATTCCTCCACTTAAGCAATTAATTTATCCAATAAAATGAAAATACATCAGTAATAATTTGAATTTTACAATTGACAACTGAAGGATCATTTTGAATTCAAGGATCTGAATTTCTTATTATGTTTACTTTAAGAGTGCAAACAAGCATTAACTTTTCCAATGGGCAAGTTAGGAAACAAAGATTCTTCTTCTGTTTAAAGAGATGGTTACTGCAAAAAGCTGATTCTATCCTGTTAACACAAATAATATGTGCAAAGAATGAAACAATCATAGCCACCTGTGGTAGGCAGCTTTCATTTCATTCACATAGAGGTGGGCTACTCATATCTGGCATCCTCT